CATTTTATAATTTTTTCATTGTGTGAAAGTCAGAGTGTATGTAAACAACTCTGGATAGTATAGCCTTCCACAGACCTAGGCTACATGATATAGTGTCATGCTCTTCAGCTACAAACCAATAAAGTCTGCTATTGTACTAGATTATAACACAATGATTAACTACTTGTATACCTAAACATATAATAATATAACAAATTAGAATAAAATAAAAATTTAAAAATAAACACATAGTAGAGGCAGAAGAAAAATACAGTACAAAAAATTTAAAATGGCAACCTATTTAGGGCACTGACCATGAGTGGTACCTACAGAACTAGTTACTCTGTGTGAGTGAGTTACTCTGGGTGAGTGATTACAAAAGCCTAGAATATTAACTGTAGACTTTATAAATACTGCACACTTAGGCTACAGTAAATTTATTCCTAAGATTTTTCTTCAATAATAAACTAATTTAACTTACTGTAACATTTTTATTCCATGAACTTTTATATTTTTTTAACTTTTTGAATATTTTATAACATTTAGCTTAAAACACATACATTGTACAGCTATACAAGAATATTTTTCTTTATATTTTTAGTTAAAAAAAATGGGGGGGATGGTATTGGGGATTGAACCCCAGGGCATTCTGCCACCGTGCTACATCTCCAACCCTTTCTATTTTTCAGATAAGGTCTCAGTAAGTTGCAAAGGCGGGCCTCAAACTTGCAATCCTCCTGCCTCAGTCTCCCAAGTTGCTAGGATTACAGACATGTGCCCCTGCACTCCACTTTAAAAATTAAGACACAAGAACCAGGCACTGTGGCACTTGCCTGTTTGATATGCTTAATAACAGCTGTTTATTATAGAGATTAGCATACTTACATCTGGCTTTGATATTTCAGTGAAGCTCTGAATGTAAACTTTTTCGGGAGGGGGAAACCAGGGATTAAACTCAGGGGTACTCAACCACTGAGCCACATCCCCAGTCCTATTTTATATTTTATTTAGAGACAGGGTCTCACTGAGTTGCTTAAAGCCTCACTTTTGCTGAGGCTGGCTTTGAACTCACAATCCTCCTGCCTCAGCCTCCAGAGTCCCTGGGATTATAGGCATGTGCCACTGCTCTGGGCTGAACATAGACTTTAAAATTGATGCTAGAACAAGTTAAGACTTTGGGGACTATTGGGATGGAATGAATGTGTTTTGCATGTGAGAATAACATGAATTTGGGGGGCTAAGGTGTTGAAACTTAATGGCCAAAATGACCATTAAGTATCAAGTGATGGGGCCATTAAAGCTGATTAAGTCAATGAGGACTCCTTCCTCATGAACGGGATTAAGGTTCTTACAAAACAAGTTTTACACAGAGTTTTGTCCTTTTTGGCTATTCCATTCTTCTGCTATGTGAAGACATGGTTTTTGTTCCCCTGTTGCCCTTTCTGTCCCTTCTGCCATGTGAGGACAGAGCAGATGGTGCCATCTTTGAGGAAAAGGCCTTCACCAGACACTGAACCTGCTAGAGCCATGATCTTAGACTTCCCAGTCTCCAGGACGGTGAGAAATAAATTTTTATTGTTTATAAATTACATAATCTGTGGTATTTCATTACAGCAGCACAAAGAGAGCCTCTTAAATTCATTTAATTTTTTTACTTATATAATTAATAGTTTTGTACTTACTAGTAAAGGGAAAAAGGAAATAGACATTTTATTTCAAAATACATTTTTACAAAATGGATCACATATTGGTTTAAGTCTGAGTTAAAAACAAACTTTTTAAAGAAATTAGTGGTCTTTGTTCTTCTTTTGTAATTTTTTTCCTTTCCATTTTTCCTTTTAGGTGATAGACTATACCAACTCCATACTATTTACTATTAAGATCCCTACTACTGGCATCATTTATCAACTGTGTATCTGCAAATTTAATAATCTGATCATTGAAAAAGGTAACTAAGATAAGTGAGCTAAATCCCTAAAAAACAAATGCCAAATGTCTTCTTTGATATAAAGAGGGCAACTAAGAACAGAGCAGGGAGGAAGAGCATGAGAAGAAGACCACCATTAAACAGGGACGAGAGGGGGGAGGGAAAGGGAGAGAGAAGGGAAATTGCATGGAAATGGAAGGAGACCCTCATTGTTATACAAAATTACATATAAGAGGAAGTGAGGGAAAAGGGAAAAAAAAACAAGAGAGAGAAATGAATTACAGTAGATGGGGTAGAGAGAGAAGATGGGAGGGGAGGGGGGGGATAGTAGAGGATAGGAAGGGCAGCAGAATACAACATACACTAGTATGGCAGTATGTAAAAAAGTGGATGTGTAACCGATGTGATTCTGCAATCTGTATATGGGGTGAAAATGGGAGTTCATAATCCACTTGAATCAAATGTATGAAATATGATATGTCAAGAGCTTTGTAATGTTTTGAACAACTAATAATAAAAAAAAAAGATAAGTGGGCTAGTGGCTCATGCTTAACAATTTCACACAGATTCTGAGAAAGCTGGTCATTCTTTGTGTTTAAATAAAAAGATATTTATCCAGAAGTTGGTTTTTGAATATTTATATTGTGATTTTTGTATATATACAACATGACAGCAACCTAATCAAATTTCTAATTGAGCATGATTAGTTTAAAATTTTAGTGTGACATGATCACCTTCTGCCATTTTATTAAAAGAGTAATTACACTTTTTTAAAGTCCCTGATTTAAAAAAAAAAAAAAAAGACTGGATAGATAGGACATTGATTTTTCTTTTACATGTAAAGCTAAAAAGAAGTATTTATATGACTAATTATCAACATAAGACAGCTAGGATCCAATGAAATCAATGGCTTAATAGATCTGAGGTTGTTAAAGATGAAGCTGCTGATGCCTGATCAGTGTAGGGCTGACATTATAACATGTATAATTTCATTTTTTAAAAGGTATTTTTTAAAAGGCATTTTTAATCATTATCTAGTTTGAATTTTAGGTAGTACTAATTGATCTTGCAGGAGGTGGAGAGTACTTTACATTTATATTTTTAGTAAAAGATCTGACTTTTAAGCTGTGTATGGTGGTACACACCTTAATCCTAGCTCCTTGGGAAGCCAAAGCAGGAGGATCACAGGCTCAAGGTCAGCCTGGACAACTTAGCAAGACCTTATCTCAAACCGAAATTATTTTTAAAAAGGGCTGGGGATGTTGCTAAGTGGCAGAGCACATGCAACCATGTGGCCCTTGGTTCAATCACAAGTATTACCAAAAAAGGATATGAAACATGTCTATGTCCACAGTATAAAAGTTAAACTTTAGTGGGGCTAAGTGTATTTATATTTCTTAAAATGGAGATTGTACAATGAATTTGTCAAACTACACTTTAATTTTTTTGTTGTTGTTGTTGTTTTCTTTTTTAGTACTGGGGATTGAACTTAATCACTGAGCCAAATCCACAACCCTTTTTTAATATTTTATTTAGAGAAACAGTCTCGCTGTGGGGCATAGCTAAATTGCTGAGGCTGGCTTTGAACTCCTGATCCTTCTGCCCCAGCCTCCTCAGCCACTGGGATTACAAGCATGCACCATGGCACCTGGTCAAACAGTACTTTAAAATACAAAGTTATGGGTTGGGGTCGTGGCTCAATGGTAAAGTGCTTGCCTCACATGTGTGAGGCACTGGATTCAATTCTCAGCACTGCATATAAATAAATGAATAAAATAAAGGTCTGTCAACGCTAAAAAATATTAAAAAAAAAAAAAAAAAAAAACAACCACAAAGTTAGGTGGCTCTGGGGGTAACCCAGCATCAGAGTGTGTTCCTAAGAACCTGGGTCAATCCCCTGAGAAAAAGGGAAAAAATGTTAGGCATTAACTCATGAAAAAACACTGTCCTCTAAAATGAACAGTCATAAAACCTTTTGAATTTAGTTCTAGACTTTTTATTTAACTGCTGACTTGTTACCTTGCTTAGCTCCCAATTTTTTCCTTCCTTCAAATTCCTTTTCTCATGCTACATCTTTATACAAGTATATGTTGTCTAAGCAAGAATGCTTTCTTAAATTTTGATAGTTTAAATTATTTGAATAATCCTTTAAATAACATTTTCAGAAAATGTCTATATTGTCATTATTAAATAGGTATGCAGGGAGCATAATGAGAAGCGCTACAATGTAATTTGGTACAGATTCTAGTTAAAATGCTTGTCTTAGAATGCCTAGCACTAAATAAACAGAAAACAGTTGAGAAATTTGAGGAGTCCAAAATTATAGAAAACTATTTTAATTCCACTTGAAATACTAAATGTAAGTCATGATAAATTTTAAAGTATAAACAAAACAATGAATGGGAGGTAAGTTTTTAAATGCATAACCCTGGAAAAGAAAACAACCAATCTCTCTACCTTTAACATATTCTCATCACAAATTTGAATGTTCTGCTTTTAAAATTTCTGTACATTTTGAACAGGTATTAAATACATGCACCATAAAATTCAAAGGGCACAAATGTAAACAGAGTGAAAACCAGGTCTTCCTTTCCTGCCCACTCAGCTATCCAGTTCACTTCCCTGAAAGTACACATGTACTTTTAGGACAGAAGATATCCAACTTCTCTACACCTTGTTTCTTTCATATGGTCATATGTCTTGGACAAATTATCTTAATTGTAAAATTAAGAGTCTCTTTAATAATTAATTTTTAAAACAATCATTTAAGAGAGGTTCGAATATTACCACCAATTTACAAATGAGGAAACTGAAGTTTCAAGAGGCAAAGTTAATGGCCTAAAATCTGACAGCTGGTAAGTAGCAGGGGTCAGGATCAAACCCACGTCTGACTTCAAAGCTCATATTATTCTCTGTTACACTTTTCTAATTTTCAGTATTTGCCCAATAACAAACCATGATGCTAATGACGGTTCATTTAAAGTTAGTAATAAAAAGCATTATATAGTTTCAGAGCTTTTTAAATCAACTAAAATAAAATCTGTCATCTATTCCACTGATCCAAGTGCAACGTTAAAATGGAGGAATTACTTACTTGCACAATTTGCCTCCTTCCATGTGGTATTAAAAAACTCAGAGAGAATCACAACTATTTGCATTCTATCTGCCATTAAAAGACTTCTGACACAACTCTGACTCTCTGAAGTATTCTGAAAACAAAAGATAGAAAAATACAATCTGAGTATTTTTAGACTTTTCAAACAACTTGAGGCAAACATCTTATAAAATAATTAAAACATTTATTATAAACCTTGTAAGATTCTGATGTTATCAGATAATGGTGATATTAATAGTAATAATGATAATGAAACAATTAGCAGCTATCATTATTGGCATCCATTTCACCTGCAAGAAAAGAAAATCTTTGCTTCTTTAACAAGTATTTGCTTCTATAGTACAGTCTCAACTAATTAGGTCTCAGTTGCTTGTGTGTCATAATCTCTTACTTTTTATGCATGGGGAAAAATTCTGGAACATTACCAAAATGCAGCAGTAAGTATCTGTGGATAATGGAAATATGGCAGTTTTTACTTTTACTTCTCTTAAGCTGTCTAATTTTTTTTACAGTGAACATATGTTTACATACACATGTGTACATATACACATATACATACAGAATTTTTAATCTGTGGGTAGATGATCACAAATTATTTGGTTTCATCTTTTGAGCAATTTTTGGTTCAAAGTCTTACAGTACATGAGAAAATCCAGTGACATATCCAGTTAGTATCCAAACAGTTGGTATTCAGACAGGAAAATATGCTTTCTACAGATCATCTTAATCATGAGAGAAACTCATGCTATGCAAATAAACCCAAGCTCCTAAATTACTTAATCCTTACTGTTTACTTTTCTTTGTGTTCCAAGCAAAAAACTGTATTCTACTTACATTCATTCCTTCAATTATTTAACTCCTGCTATTTGCTAGAAACCAAACAAATCCTGGAGTTTTGAGCACATAAAAGTATGAGAACCCATCAATATTAGGGCTTCCAGAACCTCCCTGAAGACACAGGTAAGGAGCTATGCAATGGGATGAGTAATAAGAAACAGTGGTAACTCTAGGGAAAGAACTGATCAGCTGTGTGGGGTAAGAAAGAAAGAAAGGCAGGCTTAAAGCAAAGATTCTTGCTTTAAAATATTACTGACATTCATTTCTGAAAGCTAATCCTCTTTGTGGTTTAGTTTTGTCATCTCGTTAAAAGATGCAAATGAGTACTTGCTTTTAAAATAGTGAATTGAACAAAACATTTTAAAGTTATTTTCCTGGAGTGATCTCAAAGTAATACAAGTAGTAGGAGAAATTTTATTTTTTTCAAGGGCGTGATTACTGGGGATTGAACCCAAGGGCACTCTATCACTGAGCTACATCCACAGCCTCTTTTATTGTTTATTTTTGAGACAGGGTCTCATTAAGTTGGCTTCAAACTTGCAATTCTCCTGCCTCAGCCTTCTGAGTTGTTGGGATTGCAGGCAAACACCACCATATTCTGCTTTTTATTTTAAATAGAGCTTAGCCAAGAAATCCAACAAGGCTAGATCAGTAGTTGATAATCTTGGGCAGCTGACCTAAACTGCCTGGGGTTCAGTTTCATAATCATGAGTCCTACAGTTACTATATTAAATGAAATAATATGTTAATCACTTAATATAACATCTGGCACACAGTAACTGCTATATGGTATTTCACCTAGCTACCTTGCTACCAACCTGGAATGCTCTAAGTGGATATATTTGGCTAAGTGTAGTCAGTTACTTAAGTTGCATCTCCACAAATTGACAACTAGTAACTTAAAAAACCAATACAGCATAGCCAGCTGTAGTGGTACATACCTGTAATCCCACCTACTCAAAGGCTGAGACAGAAGGTCTCTGAGTTCAAGGTCAGCCTGGAAACCTCTCTCAAAATAAAAAGTAAAAAGGGCTAAGGATGTATCTCAGTGGTAGAATGCTCCTGGTTCAGTCCCCAGTAGCCCTCACCCCTGCTAAAAACTAAATACAGTATGGCCTGTACAGGTGCTCAACATGAGGAATAGCTCAGGTGAGGAAGACATCCTTTTGAGAAAGGAAAGAGAAACTGTAGAATAAAAGGATCATATGGTAAAAGTGATTATGTGGTATTTATAAGTATTCAGTAGACAAATATCGCTAGACTCCCCATAATGAAAGTTGGTCTCCATAATGAAAGACATCAGAAGGGTAAGTTAAAACACAGATGGGAAAGGCCTTAAGGGTCATGAGGGTCAGTAGGAAATTCTTGAAGACTTCTGAGGACAGTGACAAGAAAAGTAAGAGTATGGGGAACAAATGTCTAGCTCATGATATTTAGGGTGAGGAGGCAGCGAGACTAATTTGAATATTCCCATAGTTCAGGTCTGATGAAAAGATGGAGGCAACACTGGAGATGGAAAGGAAGTGATGAATAATCCCAATGATGATGATGCGTTTGTTGAGCAGTTAGTTCTAAATGCTCCAAGAGCATTAGCCCACTTCATCCTCCTAACACTTCTATAAAATTAGTGTTATCCACCTGAATTCAAAGACTACCTCTTCCTCTGCATGACCTTGGATAAGCTACTTAACCACACTGAGGCTGTTTCTTTCTTTCTTTTTTTTTTTTAAACTTTATTTATTTATTTATTTATATGTGGTGCTGAGGATCGAACCTAGGGCCTCGCATATGCTAGGTGAGTGTTCTACCACTGCCCGAGGCTGTTTCTTATAGCATGATATCCACCTCTATGTGTGTCCAGATTTTTCATCTATACATTAAGTTCCCATAGGAGGAAACTCTAACACCTAACACAGTAGCTGAAATACTGGTCCTTGATTTATACTTAAAATTGTTAATACCCAAATCTACCATCATCATTTGGCAGAATCCTCACTATCATGAACCCAACCATCCACATTCCTCATGCCTGCACCTAGGAAGTTGGGAGCAGCTGGCAAAAAGTTAAAAACCAAGCAGACTGTTTCCAGCATAAATCCATAATCCTAAGCTACACTCCTCACTTTCTTGCTGCTCTCCTTTTTATAACCATTATTTCAAATCTTCTCCATACTCCTTGAAACTTGGATAACAGACTTCTCTTTACTCTCAAGAGAAGATACAATCTCCTAGTCGGCAGAAGAAACAGAAGACATCAAGCCAAAACTCTGATTTGCCTCACTCTACACTCACCCTCTCCTTCTACCCCCGGGTTACAGTGGAGAAAGTGCCTGCCTCTGAAAGGCCCATCTCTCCTTGCATACCCTAGATTCTGCCCACTCTGCCTTCCCTGGAAACTGACATCTATTTCTCCACTCTCTCTTACAGAACCAGTCACCTCTAAAAATACCTCAAAACCAACAATTCAAAATCAAGTGAATGATTTCCCACCAAACAGGCTCTTTCTTCCATCTCACTAAATGTCAACCCTGTCACTAAGCTGCTCTTATTAAAACCCTGGAAATCATCAATTCCTTTTTCACTCTCACATTTAATTAACAACCAAGCCTTGTCATTTCTACTTCTTAAATATCTCCGAAATCTATTTCTCCCCACACATGGGCCTCATGTAACCTACCTACCACCATTTCTCACATCGCGGTAATAATCTCCTAATTCATCTCCCCACATGTCCTTTTTCCCTACCTTCCCCAAGTCCTATCCCCTCCATTTTCTTTCATGTTGCCCAAATGGCCTTTAGTACATATCTGACCATGTCATTCCACAGAATTAATCCTTCCAACAATACTGCACTGCTTAAAATCTGAGTCTAAGATCCTTAGCACTCCCTACAAGGAACACAGGACTTAGTACCTGCCTACTTCTTCAGGCTCAAATCACTAGTTCCTGTTCTCTGTGCTATTTTCAAACACACCAAACCCTCAGAGTCTTCACACCTGCCATTTCTTTACATATACACCTTTTCTCCCCACCCTACGCCCTCTCACATTTCAGGTGTCAGCTCTAGGTACTGGTCTCTTTACCTAACCCCAACCATTCAAGATCAGTCCCTGGTTATATGCTTTGGTACATCTGGGTTTTTTCTTTACAATATTTATCACACTTGAATTAAATGATTATCTGTATGATGATACCCTTAACATCTGTTTTCAGTCAATAAGCTTTGCTCATTTGAAGAGAACTACTAGTAACTACCACAGCCTGCACATAATAGGTATTCAACATTTTGAATGAATGCATAAGAATTAAATTTTCTGATATCTAATGAAAGACATGTTATGCTATGCTCCCATCTTTACCCTATATTACTAAGAATTTGTTCGTTAACCTACAGTAAAAATAAAGATTATACTATGTTCTCATTTTTTACCCTTTACTCCTAAAAATGTGTTGAATACTCTCCAGATGCATAACCCAAATGACTAGCACTTTCACAAACGTGTGTAATAATGTGTACTTAGATACATCTATTTGAGTTTTAAATAAGCCAACAGAATAGGATAGAACTTACTATCTCAAAATCTGAGGGGACTAAAGCATCCTTAAAACCAATCTCATGAGGCTGATCAGATCAATGAAACCATGTCCCTATCAGTTTCACCATTCAGGGTTCACAAATCACTGTGTTCTTTACTGTGAGGTTACAAAACTACATGAGATCCTTGTCCCAGTAGTTCCACAAGGAAGTATAAAGAATATAGGATTCTCATCAAATAATTCCATTAGTTAAACTAATTCGCTTGCTATCCCACATGAACAGCCTGGCTAGTTTCTAACCTTAGATTTTTTTTTTTCTCCTGTTCAACTCCTGTCCTCTCTCAAGCTGAGTCTATTCATCTTAAAGAAGGTCAGAAATTCAGCCTGTGAGTCTTCTCTAATTAAACAACCACATCTTGCTCTCTGTCCCCTACTTTCAGCATCTCCTTCATCCTTTCCTTCTACATTGCTATGGTATAATTTATAACACCCTGGAAATATTTTCCTTTTTCTTAATATGTCTATTTTATTTCTCCAACCATACTGATAGTTTGAGGCCTGGGCCTTATTCTCTTTCTCCTTCTATATCCTCTTAACAGCCCAACATTCAAGTAGTAGGTGCTTGCTAAATAAACTGATTTAAATGAAAGACTAGTCTAATGAGTCAAAGAAAATACATTGCTCTGGAAAAATAAACCTCCCCCCAAAAGACAACTAATTTCCTCAAGTTCCATTCACATGATAATCAGAACACATTTTTTCCATAGGTTCATTATTACACATAATGGTTCAGTTTCCAAACCAAGCCACAAAAGCCTACTAAATCCATAAAGCACCTATAGAAATCATGCTTTTGAGGTAATGAACTACCTTCAGCTCTACTGAGGAAAGAAGGGGAATAGAGACCAAAGTCTAGGATGAACTGGAGAGGAAACACAGATTTGAGAAAAGGTTTTCTGGCCTCTTTTCACCTCTTTACTCTCTTCACACTAGGGTGAGGTGAGCTAGGTGCCTATGTTACTGGCAGAATCTGAGGCACAGAAGGAAAAGAATCCCTGTATGGGGAACTCATGTGGAAATGCATACCTATAATACTGTACTACTAGAGTTTGGGATAATTTTTTCTTAAATCTATAGTACCTACACAAATTAGAAAAGTATTTGCTGCCTCAAAAGATTCAAGCTGTATATCATGACTCATGGCTATTCTGCCCATAACAGTACTTGTTCTTTATAGTAAAAGTCACCCTAAAAACTACTCAACTAACTGCTCAAAACCAAATATGATGTCCTGTTATTCCCTGCTATACTTCACAGGGACAATCCATGGGTACTTAAAATCACAGAGAAATATATTTTATATATACACATATTTTTAAATATGTAAATATGTATAGCCTCTAATAGTACACTTGGAAAATACCACATGTAAGCCTAAATTTATTTAAACTATTTTGAAAAACCAATTCTTTACAGAATAATTGACCACAGAATTTATTTAATGCAAATAAATCCATTTATGTTAAATAATATCAGCTGGCTTAAAGCACAATGCAACTATATACAAGTTTATATTTATCCACATCAATTATGATTTATGAGATAACTCTAACCACATTTTCATGAGACTACTTGCTGTCCCCTCAACACAAGAGGAACTTGCCCACTCCCCAACCTCCCTTGATCCTCATGTTTTCCCCTTACCAGGCATCCTTGTGACTCAGTTCACCAACTGTGATACTCTAAACTTTCCTAGTCTATATCCTAGACAGTACTTACAACAGTAATAGCCTTTTTTTTTTTTAATTAAATCTTACTACATGACCAGGAAAGCTTTCAGGGTGCCAAGAATGGAGGGCAGACTTACCATTTCCTAAAATTTTAACTCCCATAGAGAGCTATTACTATGTACCAGTTTTCCTTGACTTCATTTATCCCACACTTTACAAATGAGAAAACAAGCAGAGAGTGTAACTTGCTTAGAGTATAGCACTAATAAGCAGAATGGAATTGGATTCCTAGCCAACTAGCTCCACACTGGCTTAATCAATAAGATGAACTCGCATACATATCTCTTTTAATTCTTTTAACATCCATATTAAGCAGCTATTGTTGTTTTGTTTTCGTTTTATAGTTGAGGAAACTAAGGCTCTGAAAAGATCATTCATCCAAATACACACTGCTAACAATGGGTGAATCTGAACATTTCTGGCTACAAAGCTCACGCTTCTAACCACTACCTGCTTCTCCACTCCACTGTAGTTTCAAGAAAGGGTTCTTTCTGGGACTTCCAGGTTGAGACGGGGGAAAAGCAGTGGCAGAAGCAGCGGGAGAGGGAGAAGGAAGAAGACAGTTTGGAAAGCAGGATCCCCAAGAAAACAAGTCACATCCATCTGAAAATAAGTACCAACAGGATGCACAACAGCACCCATAAAGGTAAAAATGCAAAACCCCAAGCGCCTCAATGCCATCCAATGCCCCAAACTCCACATTCAGTTCAACCCTCTGTTTATGGCTGGAAAAACTGAAGCCTCCTGAGTTGACCATCATTACAACCTTCTCCTCTCCCAGCCCTACATGGCATAGGTGCCGGGTGTGTTCCTCTACCCACCCCCACGGATCGGCTGATGTTGTCCATCTTGCTGACGACCTGTTGGAAGAGCAGGTGGCAGGTCTGGCAGATGCGCACGGGCCGGGCGCTGCGCACTAGACACCCGGTCAGTTCTGCGCTGCTGTTGGCGAAGTCCAGCAGCAGCTCCTGGCACTCGGGATCCAGATTCGGCAGATCCGGGGGTAACGTCAGTGGCCCCAAACCTCCGCCCCGTAGCAGGGATATGGTCAAGTCCTCCACCTCCAGCAGTTGCTGCTCGGACAGGAGGTCGAGCAAGATCCTGCGCGGACTGCTGCCGAAAGGAAGCGCGCCCAAGGCCAGCCTCGACCACAGTGGCAATAACAGCAGCAGCCACCGCAGCAGCGACGCTCTCCGCCGCACCACTGTAGGGTCCTGATCCATCACTGGGTTCCCAGCCTCAGGTCGCACACCGCTGCTTCTCCGCCCCCCGCCGGCACAACCCCAGCCGCCGCTTCCGGCTTCCGCGGGCGCAGGCCGAGAGCCGGGTCACGAGGCACGCGCGTCACGGCCCCGCCCCCGGTGCGCGGCGCCCCGCCCCGTTGGCGGCCGACGGCCTCAGGCTCGGGGGGCGCGCGCTCAGGGACGCGCGGACACGGAGGCTTCGCTCTCGAGCGCGCGCCGGACGCTGGGATGAGAGCGCGCGAGGCTCTCAGCACAGGCTTCCAGCTCTTTGAAAAGTCCCACCTTGCGGGTCTTGACGCTTAAACGACCACTGCTTTGCAGGTTCCCTGTGTTCGAGAAGTCTGCGGAATGACTTCACATAGCCAGACCGACGGCCTGGACCGTCGAGGTTACTGTCCCTTGAGTTCCCAGGGAAAGTCCGCTAGTAAGAGGGCTTCGACGGGTTTTTTACTTCGTTGTTTGTTAACATAATGGTTTTCTTCGTCCTATTTAGAAAAAGCAATAACATCTGTTGGCTATTATTGGTGTTGGAACTAGTGGCCTGCTTTTTATTCTGCAACCTTTCAACTCTCTACGAGAGCTCTGCGGGGTAAAACTTTCTGCAGTGATGGAAATAATAATAATCTACATTTAGAATAACTGCGAGCAAAAATGATCAAAACGGGAGCAGACCTCGACGGATCGGCAATGCCTTTTATTAAGCAGCGGAGTCAATTAGGCATCAGAGGGGCACGTTTTAGGTAGAAAATGGCGGGGGGCTGCAACAAAGGTCAGAGTTTTATAGTGTTTTATAGGAAGATACAGCTACTTTTAGCGAGCAGGTGAATTTTGGCTAAAGAATTTTGACTGAGCCATAGCAGGAGAAAATTCGGAAGCTGCAGGGAGAGAGGCCTTGAGCAACCAGAGGAACGATTATAAATAAGGGATATTGTACCTGCTCGGGGCCTACGTCCTAACTAGGGGACGTGATTTTCTGTATCCTTCAGTAGCCACTGGTCATGTGTAGCTGTTGAGCCCCTGAAATGTGGCTACTACGACCGAAGAACTGAATTTTCGATTTTATTTAAGTGTGAATAGCCACATCTGACTGGTAGCGACTGGTAGTGGGTACAGGTCTGGGCAGTGGATGGCCAACGTGCAAGTCTGCTTGGAACTGAAGGAGTTTCCAGGATGCATCACCTTCAATACTAAAACCTGGGAAATGCTGGGCAACCCTCTTTACTTCAAATTGATACCATTGGTGGACTGTAAAAAATTTAAGGTCGTAGCATGGAAAACCATTTTCTGATAAGTATCTAATTAACAAGATTGGCAGTAAAATTACTTCCTTTCTGTTTTGTGTTTTTCTCCTTTTCAGATTATCATTTTGGCCTTATAAATTGCAGAGCTACTGCACAGATTCCTATGTAGTATAATATCCCAATTTATGTTTCTATGGGATTTTAAGCTTATTTTGTACCCGACCTGACTTGTTATTGTTTTGTGTTTCTGAGTTTGCTTGTGATAGCTGAATTTTGTTTCATTTTTGTTACCAAGGAACTGAATAGTAGGAAATTGGATTTGTATAACAATAAATGTATTTCCAAAAGAGAAAGTTGTCTTAATTTTCTCAAATTTCATTATGTAACTTTAAGGTCTTTCTACATATTGAAATTACCATTATGTGTTGCTGGTGGTTGTGTACATTGTGAAACTTCTGTAGAAAACAATATAGCATAACCAACATTATAAATTTACATATTCATTGACCCAGAAAGTTCACTTCTAGGAATTTATCTTAAACATAAACCAATATTGTATAGATTCTATTATTCATTGAAGTTTTGTTTAAAATAGTAAAAGTGAAAAGGGACAGAAATGGGAAATACTGGGGAATTACATTGGCCAAATTATATTGTTATATTGTGTGCGTGTATGAATATGTAATAATTAATCCCACCATTGTATACAATTATAATGCACCAATAAACAATATGGAAGTTTGCAAATATTTCCTGTTAAATAAATTATGGACAACTTTTCTCTTCCCTTCCTCTCCTGGAAGCCTGAAGTCCTAAAGGTCAAGTAGAGCAAGGTAGGCATCTGTACATGGCAGGCTTGGGTTGATGGAGGCCTGGAAAGAGTTGTCAGAACACAGGTAAGAAGAGGAAGACATTTACATGAAGGAGGGAGGAAGGCAGTATCACTAGATACAGTCTATTGGATCCTATGAAGGGTTTCCATGCAAGGGAAGGGACAGCAGTGACTATGAGATTGCTTGCATTTAGAGGACTTGATCAAATAAGTAAATATATTAAGGATAATGGGAGTTCAATTTCCCACTGTCAGAAAAGGAAATTACAAGTATGAATAGAGAGAAATGAACTATGCACAGTGTTGGATTAGAAGAAGAAATAGTACACTTTATGGCTTGAGATACGTACAGATAGATATAAACCAGGTGTGCTGGCACACACCTGTTTCCCAGCAACTCAGGAGGCTGAAGATAGGTGAAGATAGGAGGACTGCAAATCTGAGGCTATCCTCAGCTATTTAATGAGATCCTATCTCTAAAATTTTTTTTAAAATACTGGCTATGAAGTTCAGTGATAAAACACCCTTGGATTCAATCCCCCGGGGTAAGGGGATGAGATAAATAAGTGTAAATATAGATGTAAGCGTATATGAGTGTATATTTTCATATGCATGTGTGTGTTTCTCCTGTGAGAAGGCTTAGTAGCAGAAGCACCCATAATAATGGACACACATTGTGCCCAGCTCTTGGCTTCTGAGTGTCATTCTCCACCAAAAGAAATGAAGGATCCTTGGAGAAGTGGCTGATTCTACCAATAGAGGAGGAAAAATACAAAGTTGATCCTGAATCATCTTGTGCCAGAAAGTGAGGAAGTACTCCAAGAATGATAGGAACATATCAAGAGCATATAAAAGCCAGCTTGACTACTTACCCAATCTGAAAAAATTTTAGCATCAAAATAAATAATGATGGTTAACAGATTATAAGCCATTGAATAAAACAAGAAAACCTAAGTCTATAGTGATATATTTTAATCAATGAATAAACTGATAAGGAATAAAGTACTTACATATTTTTAAAGATTCTTGCCCTCAAAATATTTACTGATTACAAATAGGAAAAAGGTAAATTTATAGTGAATTTTGTCAGTCTCTGTTACTTATGTGACCAACATGAACACCATCATAATAAGATGTATTAAACGTTCTATGCCATCTGAAAGGATGCAATTAGAAGAGTGCAGCATCAGTTCTGTTACATTTCTGCCAAAGATGCATTACCTGATACTAATCATGAGAAAGCAACAGATAAACCAAATTCAGGTTCATTCTACAAATTGTTTAACCATTAACCTTCCAGAGTATTAATGCTACAAAAGTCAGAAAAGATTGAGAGCTGCACCTGACATAAAGAACATTACTAGAACAACTAGCAACATTTGAAGGGATCTGAGCATTAGATGGAATAATGTATAATGTTAATTTTCTGATTTTGATAATTGTGAAAGAAAGAACAAGGCTCCTTGTTGGAGAAAATGCCCATTTATTGAGGAACAGCTCTGCATATTTATAGAGCTGGGAGTGGTTTGACAGTTATGACAGTTTAATGGTTGAAGGGTTTTACAAAGCTAGTCTGATTAGTGGGTAAGGATCATGTAAGCCAGCAGGGCTAGTCTGATTGGTGGGTAAGGATCATGTGAGCCAGCAGGGCTCACCACTGGACGGCTCTTCTTGGGGAGATGGGGAAGTTAGTCTTTGAAGCCTGGGCAACTCCCAATAAATTGTATTGAGTTTTTTTGCTGTTGTTTGTAGAAAATACACTGTAAAGTATTCTGGGGTCATGAAGGGACATTAAATCAGCAACTTACTTTCAGATAGTTCTAGAAAATTTTTAAAAAAACACAGTTTGTACTTGCAAATTTTTTTGTAAGCTTGAAATATATTGAAAATCAGGGTAGAAATACCATAAAATTCTGTTCATTTGGAATTTTATGTACAGATGTGGAATACTGCCAAGATAAATAAAAAAGAGAAAATGTAAGAATAAAGAATGTGGGCGGGGTTGTGGCTCAGTGGTAGAGCACTCACCTAGCATGTGCAAGGCCCTGGGTTCGATCCTCAGCACCACATAAAAATAAATAAAATAAAGGTATTGTGTCCAACTACAACTAAAAAATAAATATTAAAAAAGAATAAAGAATACTAAATGCTTGTGCTGGCATATGTATGGACTGTCCCCAGAAGGATACACAAAATTGATCACTTTGGTAGAAGAACTGGGCAGTGGGAATAGGGCTAAAAGAGATCCTGTTCATTGTAAACTATAGTACTCTTAAAGTTGTGTTCCATGGAAATATGCATTTATTCAATAAGTTGATAGCAATGAAAAGATAGTTTTCTAACTTGTCAACTATCAGTGGGCTCAGGACATTTGTGAATGCCACAAACCTTGACAGAATTTTGTAGGTATATATGCTTTTCTGAGAAGAAAGTCATAATTTTCTTCATCACTTTTCATAGGAGACTATAATCCAAAGAAAACGAAGAACCAAGAATTTAGAACAAATTTGAATAAAATGACTTACTCTGGGTTTCATTAAATTTGCTTTTCCTCATATATTACAATATATTACATATATACAATATATTACATATATGTTTTACATGTACTACAATATGCAAAACAGACAAAAAAGCAAAACAAAGGCAGTAATTCATGGAAGTAGGCATTGAACTAAACAGAGATGGCTGAAATAGCATTGTGCCCAAAGAACAGGAAATAAAACCAAATGTGTACAATACAATTAAATAAATATTAGAGGAAATAATGCAGAGGTGTTTGGGAAGCATTAAAGATGGAACTAATTGTGCCTACAGGTTTGGTTAAATGAATAGTTATGATACAAAAATAACAATAATTAATTGGTAATTATTTAGATCTGAAATATGAGTCAGTGATGGCTCCAAGTTTACAAATTCAGATAACTGGGTAAATGATAGTCCCATGGGCTGGAACAGGTAATACAGAAAAGGCAAGTATTTGGAATAGAGTGG